GTGTGTGTGTGTGTGTAATCTGCTGATAAACCACAGCTAAGATATGCAGTGGCTTGGTTGCAGACAAACTGAGGAGACACAGTCTCCCTTGTGTGCGACATCCAGACAAATGCCTTGTTCTGGCCTCAAGCCAAACCATATTTTAAACCCCCCCTTCATGCCCACAAGTATCCAAACACATCCTCCTTCCTCTCCTCCTCCCACATTATATTTTCCCCCACACAGTGAAAGTCCTGAAAGTAAACTGTTCTTCCACTTGAAAAGGGGCTATGAGTCCTCTTCCTCAAACTTATAGGAAAGGAGTCATTAGTATGTTTGGCCTGTCTGCTGCACTCTTTCAATTAATTGGACTTTGGTGAACAATTCAGCCAGTAGCCTTCCTCCGCTCCATGTCTGTCCAACATCTGGGAGGTAATTTGATATCCTAGTTCCCTGACCTTACCACAGTACATCTCCAACTGTGACATTATATTGCTTTTCCATAATTAATCAACAGCATGCGGCTGGCTGGAAGGCTCACCACCCCTGTGTCTCACTGCGTGAGGCTAAGTTCAAGACTCTAGACCAGTGACATTCTTATTTTAGCTGCTATGTACCAATGAAAATAATCATAAGGTTAGACCTGAATAATTGATTTAAGAAAATCAGAAACACCAGGCCACGAGTACCACAACCAAGCTCCCAAACTGTGACTATGAAAATAACCACCTAAAATCCAAAATGTCAAGACTTTCCATGAAGCCACAATAACGTTCAAACCAACCTGGGACTAGCTTGTTGCTAGGAGATCCGCTGGTTCAGGGGCTGACTGCTGCCTTCAACCCATTTACAGCCTGACTATTCGTCTGTGACATTTATGTTCTCATTTTCATAATTACACTGAACCTTGGACAGTTGGCATTTCACTGGATGAATGAAACAATGATTAGTCTACGCACACCTCCCATAAACCCCTGGCATGAACTCAATGAGGAGAGACAAACTGTAATAGAGATGTTTGTTTCTTTCTTTCAGGCTGTGATTATGTACATTTTGGGCGTCACTTAGGTAATAGATCTGGGAAAAAAACAAAAAACAGCAGATTAATGACTTCCACCAATGCACATGAAGATGAAGAGTTATTCTGTTACGGCTTCTGCTGCATTAACACACATTTAAGTCCATCCATGCTATGACAATCAGGTCCAGAGGTACCAGACAGGGCAGTATCTCCTGTCTGACAGGGTTTAGATGACCAGCTGCCTGCGTCTGACCTGATAAGACGTATCTCGAGTTTACAGTTTCATTTCCTGTCTTTAACGCCAGGTATGCCAGGAATGGAAGAAACCTGTCGCCTTTTTACTCTTGCTTAGAAGAAGGACATTTCTCTTACCACATCGGGAATATTAGAAATATCCAACTGTGGAATGAACTACAGCTCTAGCTGCAAAATCTACATGACTCTAAAATACATTTATAGAAAAAGGTCTGGTGGGTTTACAGACAGACAATCATTATCCAAGGGAAACTGTAGTCCAGCCACTGCCTGTGACTGAAAATATTCTGACAGTTTTCCCCCCATTGTCTCAGTGCATTGGTGCATCAATCATCTATTTTACTAACATTTCGGTTTGCCTTGAAATCTGCAGTGAAGACATGAACCGGTCTGGATGTCTGTGATATCACCCAAAGGTTTATGAGTTAGTTTGAATCGAGGAGTTTTACTGCTCTGTGCCTTGTTGGCAGTTACTTTCACTGCAGTAGAGATGTCATTCTCTAAATAAAAAGGCAAACATGGCCCCAAACAATGAAGGACAAAAAAAATGATGCAAGCTTAAATATAAAAATACATTTTGTCATTAACAAAATGTATTTTTTATTCATTTATATACTGAATTACTTATTTCTGCATGTTTTGACACTTATGTCATATTTGGTCCTTAACTGCCTCTTATGAAAAGATGCCAAAATGCTTTTTGGAGAGGGTGGGACACCAGCCGAATGCCGGTAAAATATAAATAAATATCAAAATTACAATATGGTCTAATATAATACCCAAATCACCAGGCCTACAAGTCTTGTTCTACAGATGTAAGAAAACATGTTTGTCTGGTACAGACCACAACAAATGTCACATCATCGTGACTTTAATAGTTTCTCTTTTATCTGTTTAAATAATGACAATATGACTTTTTCTTCACTAAATCCTACACAAAATAGAGATTCACTATTGTGTAGCTTCCTTGTATTGGAACATTTATCCACCACTGGCTAATAGATGTTCACATTTTAAAGTTAAGAGGATTTTCCAGCAAACTTTTCTTGGTTGCCACCTCTAGCAGCACTACCACACTGGTTTCAACATTTATTCAGTAGCTGACTCAGCGAATCCCCATAGTATACCATGTATATTCCAGCCCCACAGTTGAATAATGGATGTCAAATCTGTGGCCTTCTGTCATCGTCACACTGAGGTCTTGGTGTACTCTCTTACCGAGGCGTAGAGGGGGCTCATCTATGAAAGACTGGACGGCCAACCTGGATTATTTGCTCGGGTTGCTGCCTGCCTGCAATGGATGATTTTCCAATACTCCCCTGGTGCTGAATAAAACATGACGATGCAGGAGAGGAGCCTTAGGGTCGAGGCGCTCAGGTGACACGGCCAGCTTAAGGTCCACGATAGGCACATGTGGAGAGGAAAGCATCACCCGTCCGTCCACCGTCCTTACAGAGCTCGCCACAGAACTGACCACCTATTTCTGACAGGTATGTGAGCCTGCACCTTACTCAGCTAATGCAATCATAGTCATCATCAAACAAACAGCACAGAGACTGTAAGTGAGGCAGCTATAGAACATGAGGATGAGAAGTTGAGTAGAACAGTGGACAGATGTCTCCAAAAGAGCACGACAGTGGAGAACAAAACCCAGCGCTCCCTTAGATTCGCTGGCTCTTATTCCTGTAACCCAGCCCCGCAGGATGACAGGACCCAATACAACAGCACCGAAACGCTATCCTCTGTGCGAAACCTTAATCGCCAGCTCGCGGTTGCCTCAACCCTGTTTAACAGAACACTAGGGCAGATAAACCTGAGCTGCACATGTACAAAATGGTCTCCTGCATACTGAAAATTTGAGCAATTTCACATGAAAACTGGCTTGTAAATCTATGTATTAAAAACATTAGACAGTTACAAAAGTCTAAAGAACCAGCGTTTACACCGATCTATTTCAGACTTAATTGACATATCAGGTGTAGTGACTACGATGCATATTTACAGGATATTTACATATGACAAAAACAAAGCCCAAACCAAAACGCTACCACTTGACACATTCCCTCATTAATGCTTAACAAGATCTGGAAGGTTCCCATAAAAATGTCCTTCAAGAACATGAAGATCTGATGATGGCGA